CATCCGTTCAAATAAAAAACCTGAAACTTATACCGGCGAAATAAACGCTTTAGCATGACCTTTTAACGATACGAATCAATTTAAAGGGCTTTCGGAAACATCGTTTCACAACACATGATTGCTTTCTCGCGCCCAGCGCCCGCAGCGTGGTGTTAGCTGCAGTGGCCATCGCCGTAAGGTTTGATGGAAACTGCAACGCCGAACATCGGTGTTTCTTCTAACGATTGCGAGCGCGCATGCTCGACGTTATATCAAATCATTTTTCACTTGTCCTTTCCAGAAATGATGGGCAAACAAGCGGTCAAGCGTATGTTAGTCATGTCAAAACCAGTTCCGCAAGATCCACAAGTGCCACAAGATCTACCCTATTGAACACTTAAGGTTCAATAGGGTGGATCGTTTACCTATCCCAGGCGGGGGCCCCGTGGATCAATAAACTAGAGAGTAATGGGCACATTGCGTACCCAGGTCAAGGACTGAAGAGCTGTTCTGTCCAAGCCCGGGATACATGCCGACGACCGTTCTGACGGCCCGGAGGCATAGGACCCCTCGCTAAAATAGGGATCAGGCCTCTTCGGTATTCGGGCCTCTGCATGACATACGATGCCTTCATTGTCCCATTGTAGGCCAATTCATCGTAAGTTTTCATATCTAATTTCATAATCAGAGGACCCGTCCATCCCTACGGGCCCTCTGACCTTTGGGCGGCCATTTTTGTCCCTGTGCATTAAATGTATTCCGGCATACTGTGCTGACTCTTGTCAACACAGTATGCCCCATTAGGCACTATGGGCCTGACCGACACGGAGGGGGGGGGGAGGCTCATTGTTTTATGAGCACCGAAAAGTGTAAGTTACGACCCCCGGTCGTGTCCCTGCTTGGAAAACGAGCCCCCAGTGCCCAAACCGACACATAGCTGATTGTTGGGTGTTGGTGACCAACAACGGACCCCTGTTTGGCAATGTGGACCCCAGAGCGACACACGGTGGATGTCGATGAACACATAAAGTATATGTGCTGTGCACCTGGTTCATATATTAAATGCAGAACACAGTAAACGCGTGGTGGCTCATTCCAACATAACAATTTTTGCTTTCATTATCTAAGGCACTTACTGCGCCTAATGACAGCTGTTGAGATCAAAGATAATTCGTCTAGTAGTGCGCGAAAAATAAATTTGTAATAGTTTCGGAGCAATCATCACACGGATGCCTGAGGCCGATTGCATATGCAAACTCGCGTGACCAACTTGTGACTCGCAGCACAAAGGCTCACATATGCACGAAAACATTGTAATTTAATGCATCTGAGCTAGGTAGCGCGAAATTGTGCTGTGGACTAATTAATAAATCATGATTGGGCTATGAACTACACCAAATGATCTTCAAGATGGCTGTTTCAGTTCAAAACCCGATTCAAATGCGGAACACTCCCTTTAATGTGAACAAATGACGCATACATGCCTATTTTTGAAGGAAAGCTTGCAAATGTGATAATAATTATCTATCACAGCTCAATATAATCTTAGCTTCAAGGTCACTCACGAGAAATGAATGACCTTACGCAGACGAAGCGATGTTTGATGGGGTGCATCAGGGTACGCTAGCTGTAAGTGGGTTTGCAAGGTTACTTTGTCCTGTGAGGGGATTGCAAGCAAACCGAAAGATTCATTAGCTCCTGCCACGTTGGCATTATTAGACAGGGGCGTACTTGAATGTTTTTTTGAAATGCACAAAACCAAGATAAACGGGAGCGAAACCCATCGTTTGTCGTCAGAGCTGTCAAAATGTCTCCTGAATTTTTGCTACATAAGCGCCTTTGCTTCGTTACTGCGTGCGCCTTCTCAATTCTGATGCTACAAATTTGGTCCCCTGGCACTAGATTTTCAAGTACCGTAAACATAAAATGACCAATATGTACCAGATTGCAGAACAAAAACGCTGCCCGACTGAAAATTACCGGCCATTTTGATGCACCGCACAGCATTCCACGAGCTTCGCTCCTGTCCATTGGCTTTTCGAGCATTTCAGATTTATATTAAATTACGACTCCTTCTAATTATGCCACCGTTAAAGGGCCTTTCATACAGGTGGAAACCGCTACCTCCTGGCTGTGAGTTGTGACGTTTTGGTGTAAATTGTCTGAGAACAAGCGATGTGCAAGGTCTGGCACCGCGTGCGGTACACATCAAGCTATCAATTTTGAGCCCTCACGCCCGCAGAGCATGCGTAAATAAAGCCAGCAGGTCTTTTTGCGGGTATTGCCGTAAAAACGGTGGAATTCGCCTGACTTTCTGCAAACAAGAATTACGAAACTATGATCCTTGGCACCCTAAAAGAATGGACGGTTGCCATGGAATTTACGATTAGTATTCGTTTCGATAAAGGCATGTAGTCAAAACGCCTATCTGTCCATTCTCCTGGTTATTCTACGAGGAATAAGGCTATTCGTAATGTCTTATATGCATCATTTTCCTCGCAAATGCGCTCAACATCTTAGGTCATTGTCGTGGAAAATAGCCCTTGCCGTGAAAGACTTTCTTGTATTTATGTCATTGTGCCAACAATATATCAGGATACCGCAAAGTTCACTGAGGCTGGGTCTCCCCACGTTAATATAGGTAAAGTGCATATGATATGCTAAGCCCAGTTTGACCAACGCTATCCAGGACAGTTCGTTTCGTTATCGCGTGGGCTTATTTCTCGAGATAGCGCAAGGAGGCCCAGACACACAAGGTTTGACTTGCTTGACCTGATATGAACTGACCGGTCACATCCACTGGGAGATGTGGTGGTGCATGAATCATTGTCGAGTTCTACAGAATGCCACATTTCCTGCCGTCAAAGCAGTCTGACCCATCAATGGTCACGTTCACGGACGTTCAGTGACGTCACTCCTCTGCAGCCTTATGCGGGCTATCCGATGTGTTCTGCTTGGCTGTAGCCTCACTGCTTTTAGAAACAGCCAGGTTCCTCTGGGGATTCCTACCATCCGAAAGGCAGACATGGAACTACATAAATAGCACTACTATCTCAGCAACTTCATTAAGCATTCTTAATATAGCAAGCCTCAGAAAAGCGCTCGCCGTGTAAAGGTCAATGTAATTCATGATTTTTTTTGTACTTCAGAGCTTCTATCAGCAGTGCTCGACATATTTTCGCTTTGCATGGTGTCACCTGTAGCTGGCAGCTGGGAGCGGCGACCCGCTATTGAACGTCGCAACAATGACTTCCAGTGACCCTTGACCACCCCGGCTGACTGCTGGATCCTGACCGGGGCTCTGTCTCTCACACAACCCACGTTTGTTTTGAAGACTCCAGGCTCCTACTTTTTGACATTCAAATGAGCTAATCCTTTTAAAAAGCTTTCTGTTAGCACCCACACGCCTGCCGCATTTGTTGCATTAGTTGGTATGCCTGTTACACAGAAAGGTCACTGGCTCTAAATGGTGTTATATAGATGTGTCAAGTACACTGCTGCTTTTGACGGGGCCAGCCACTGCTTTTGACGGGGCCAATCGCTGCTTTTAACAGAGCCAGCTGCTGCTTTTGACGGGGCCGACCACTGCTTCCGACGGGGCCAATGGCTGCTTTTGACAGAGCCAGCTACTGCTTTTGACGGGGCCGATCACTGCTTGCAATGCCATTTGTCACGAATGCCATGTAACTTGTTCTCGTGCCTTTGATTTCTTATGAGCAAGGAAAACAAAAATGCGCCTTAAAATCCGTATGCTACAAATTCCACCAGGGAAGAATACCACTTTGTTTGCTTGCATACCCAAGAAGTCTTCAACAGGGTATCATTTTACCTACAGGTGGCTCCATCTGGTGAAACTTTGAACACGAATGACACAAATTCTCGTCTAGACGCTGGACAGGGAAGTAACAAAGTCGCAAAGCATGCAACGTAAAACGCGAAGCATACATACTGTCGTTGCATGAACATGCACAGTGATATGAACCCTCAATTAGAAACTGTCACTCTACGTCTACCTATGCGTTTCATATCTTACTGAAGCATTACAACTCATTGCATTGCAATCATATAGATTGTCCATAGCTGTTAGGACATACAAACCAGCGCGTGCTTACGCTGATCGCCTGCATGTTTAATGGTACATGGGTGTTGAGGGCATGTTGGTGCCAAGCAGTCATGCATGATGTTCTAGCGGGCTGCGATGTTACCTTAACCACGCCACATGTCCCTATGGTAACATCGCAGTCCCACATGGCTGCGATGTTACCTTAACCACGCCCACGCCACAACCCCCATATATATATATATATATATATATATATATATATATATATATATATATATATATATATGTCATAGGCGCATTTTACTCGTGCCACCCCGCGAGCCACTCGATGGTGTAACGCCCGGGGCGTCCGGACAGAGCAAGTCGAGTGCACGCTACACGAGCGTCGTGATGGACGTTGTGACGGACGTTTTCCGTCGCGTCGTCACGCGGGCCGTCGTTGTGACGAACGTCTGTGACGGGCGCGGCCTCCCGTCGGCGGTCACGTGAGCGGCGGCCGGAGCCGGGCACGCGCCACAGCTGATGGGACGCCACCGAACTGAGCCAGCTACGACAGACAGCAGCCGCCGAGGCCGACTGAATGGCACGGCGGTCTGTGGCAGCGGTGTGCCTCTAGTCAGGCCGTGGTCTTGTCATTACTGCCCAGTGACACACGGCTCAGGAGTACCTGATCGTTACTGTTGATGGCGTATCAACGATACCTGTGCACGCCTTGGCAATATACATACATACATATATATATATATATATATATATATATATATATATATATATATATATATATATATATATATATATATATATATATATTAGTTTCAACTGCAATCCTGCTCTTTATACAACCTTCGTGTTTGCTGCGATCATATTCATTACCTTTATTTTATCATGGAGTATTTATGTCTCTGATGTCTACCTGTTGAATGTCCAGTGCTTTATAGTCACGTGCCCTGATTTTCAGCTCAGCATGCGCGGATGCCTGGAATCAGCTGAAACTAACTCCTGTATTCGGTTGCATCTGCCCAAACTTACACGAAGAGAACTGCGAGAAAATATTCAAGACCGTGCACAACAATCCGTGCATATGTAAGTAAGAGTGGCTGGGGAAATTTATTACACGGATAAACAACTGCAATGTCGACATTACAAAGCTGTAAAAGCTTTTCGTGGCAAAAGTATAGTGGTGATTTGGACAGCTGTCAAGTGAGTTGCCCGCGCCATGTTTATGCTGCTGCCCCCGCATCTCAAATCGTTGAGTAAAAAACCCTTGTTGTTTCGACTAATAGTAAGTTTCCAGCATGCGCTCATACCCGTCATTATTCGGTGCAAATTCAGTTTCTGTGAGCTGTGAAAGCTAATTTAAATAATCTGTTGGTTGGAAATTTGTCAAGAAAGAGGACAAAGTTAGAATGTGCGCCGAACGTACCTTGTGTTACAATACGAGATGAGGTGGTCGGTGTGCATTATTACGCCATTGTAAATGAGTAAGGGACAGGGATGGCACAAATATCTCTGTGGATAATTAAACAGCATGGAATCTGCCGTGTGCGCCAGGAGCGCAGCCAGCACTTGGTAGGGAGGAGGAATAGTTGATAAGGAACCCCTCATGAAGCTAGGTCTCCCATTAAGATGACTGGCTTTGGCACACTTCATTTTGACGGAGCCGATTTCCTTGTTTGTTTTCATTTTTAAGTTCTTTAACTGGGGAGTTAAATACCTTAAAAAAGAAAGTTTGAAAAAAATGAAAAACAGAAGACAGAGGAACTACCTGAAGGCGCAATTCTGTTTGTATTCTGAAGCCAGTAAGCTGAAGGAAGAGGGCGTCAAGTGACGGCATGTAATAAACCGCCCACACTTTTCAAGATGCAATGGTTAGTGGACTTTTCAAACCGATAGAACTCAAAGGCTTGCCAGATTTGTATGTGGTTGTGTAGAGATATTGAGGTCACCATGAAGGTTCACTATAGATCAAAATGGAGTGAGCAATTTGTACTAGCACGTCCATCCCATTTTCTTCTCGGGATGTTCAACCAACAGTCAGAATCTAGAACTTAAGAAATATTGTAGCAGTTTTGCACATGCGCGTCAAAAGCCTTAGAAACAAAAAGCAGGCGCCCGGCGCTGTGGCCTCCGTAAGACCGCGCTGCGACGGACAATAGGCTAGCGGCGGCCGCGGTTAACACTAGGCGGCGGACAACGGGACGAAAATGATGGCACGCCTGAAAAAGTCCCTTTAAACGCTTTAGAACATCAGTTCGTGCGTTCAGAAGACAATATTGGCAGGTAATTTGCCTGTGCAATTTTAAGATTCATAGAAGGAACATATTGCCATATACAGCACCGCGTTTTGGTGCTGGCATCTGGTTGTGAAACCAGAAGAGTAAAATTAAGTATTTATGTTGCGTGTTGCTGGAGCTGTTAATGTATTCACATAGCAGCCTCCATATTACATACATTTTAGAAATTTTCCCCCTCCGCCTAATACTTGAAAGGTACGAATGATTTCAAAACACTTTTTGGACCATTATTTCACGACGGTCATTTGCGCGCGCCCGGTGCCCGCCGCCTGATGTTATCTGCAGCAGCCAACGCCTTTCGCTTTTACGGAAACTGTAGTCGATTTCATTGTATGTAAAATCCATTTTGGCATGAAATTATACTTCGTTGTCCATTCGCAAACCGGACATGTCATCTTGTGACAAGTGTTCAAACCATAATGCAATTGATTCACTCGGTAAAAATAGCGTCCCTCCGAAATTGCACGTTTGCAGTGTGGCATTAACCATGATTTTCATTTAAGACATGTCCGGCACAGGAGAGGCCACGTGGCCAGCACTAGGGTGGGCGCACGTTCGGCACTAGAGCGGCCGTGTGTCGGGCACAGGAGAGACAGCGTATTCGACGCAAGGCTGGGAAGCACTGGCCCTGGGATGCGGAGCACTGCACCATTGCAATTTATTAGCCGCTTTTCATAACGAGAAGTGATAGATAAAAATGAGAGGTCTATGCCATTCCTCTGCTGTTTCCAAACTCAGAGAGATAGGGTCTCAAGTAAAGAAGTAGTGGATGGGTTTCAACAACACCTTGCGATTAGAAACATGTTACATGTTGCTAGGTCAACGACTTCCTCTAGTAAGCCAGGCCAAAGTAAAATGATCCTGGAAATCAAACGCGTTGCTTAACGCGCCCTTTTGTGCGATACCATGCTCCGCACTGGCACAGAATTTAACACGCGCTCGGGTGGGGGTCAAATTGGGCCCCAAAGGTTTTTCCAAAATGGTTTCGGAAAGACGAGGCGTAGCCACGCCAACTTTTGCATAGCTGTAGACAATTGAATGATGGATCGTTTGATATCAGACAATTTAGATGTACCTTGTAAGGTCGCTGGCCTATGGCAGGTCAAAGTCAGGCTATGATTTCAGCGAGGAGCGCTCAATCTGATGCTACAACGGAGTGTTAGACGAAACCATACATCTATGAGATGATTTCTTAGGCAACGCAAATATTGAATGAGCAAATTACGTTGCTAAGGTCAGGTATGAAGGCCAGACCAAGGTGAAGACCACTCTGTTTTATTACTCTAGCGCTTACTGTAAGGGATAGTTTCTAGCGCTCATTTCTAATTTATTGATCGCAGGAACCGCATTACACATCTTCCATGGAATTTCTGGAGGGAAAACAGGCCATTGACCGAAGATAACCCAAGTTGAAATGTTGTTTTTAGGAGCATACTCCCTAGCGTAATCTTTGTCGCTTATTCAAAGGCAAAACTCAGAGCAGTCTTGTATGATTTTGGTCACCATGACCTTCAAAAGGTCAAAGAGGTCACTGACCTTAAATGAGCTTGTGAACTTTTGCTTAGAAACAGTTATCTAGGTTCTGTGGGCACTTTGGAGACCAACCTAAAAATTGACCTCGCTCGACCTTATTTGATCCAAAAATTATGATGTGGTAACATTAAAATTTGACCTAAGTGATTTTACGTACAGGTCAACACACCCTGTAAATTTGATATCGCTAGCATCCCTAGTTCCCGAGATCTCATGGGGGTCAAACTGAACCCCACCCGAACGAAGGGTATCCTGCCGGCCATCCGGGCGCGTATTTAATAAAGATGTTTTATGCATGTTGATGATCCAGGGACCCGTTAATATAACGGTGTTAGACGGATTGTTGGTTGCCGCCTGTCGCCCGCGTCACCCATGGATCGCCGTGCAGTGTTCGTTAAAGCCAGTAATTTCCCAGAAAGTGGAATTGCTTGGTAAACTTTTTCATTGCGCTCGCTGATTGAAGAATCCCCCTCCCCACAGAAAAATTTCTGCGTATGACTAATTTGTGAATAAGGATACGCTTGGCCCTGATTTTTTCAATTTTACCTTTTATAACTAGAAAAGAAGCGAGGAGCTACCGCGAGGTAAATTCTTCTTGAGTTTTATAGTCAATCAACTGAAGAAATCATGCCTTGAACTATTGCATGAAATATGTCGCCAGCACTCTTCACCTATCGTTGATCCAGTGGACTCTTTCTAAACCGATATAACTGAGGAGCTTCGTCAAAATTTTTATCTGGGTGGTACGGAGATGTTAGGGACCCGCGCATGAAGGGGGTAGATCGTAATGGTTCAACAGTTTTTGCTAACATGGCCAAGTGATGCTTCTCTGGAAATGCTCAATATTCAGTCAGAATCAATAAATGCTGAAGTGACGCAGTTTTGGACATGCGCGCTCGCCAATCTTAATAAAAACCTCGTCACTACTTAATGCAGTCTCCATGGCCCACGCGCCATCGGCCCCGCGGCTGGCACTAAGTCGTGGCCAACAAGTAGACGAAAATGATGACCTTTTTAAAAAGTAACTTTGAACGCTATTAGATATCCAATCGTACTCGTAGAAGGAATTCCAGGCTTATATTTTGCCGGTGAAATTTTTAGTGGTGATAAAAACGAATTGGCCTTCACAACACCGCAAAGTGGTGATGGAACCTAATGGTGACGCTGGAAGAGTAAAGGTAGAACTTTATTGTTCGTGTTGCTGTGACCGTTAATCTGCCCAGAGGGTATCCTCAAAGTTGTAAAAAAAGATGCACCCACTCCAATCTCAAAACGGTACGATGGGATTTCGAAAAATATAACAATTATTTCACAACGGTCGTTCTTGGGCGCACGGCGCCCGACGCCTGGTGACACTTGCAGTAGCCAACGCTGTTCTGTTTTGCGGAAACTGTAATCCAGTATATTGCTGTCCTTGCTCCGGAGATTTCGGGCGCACAGGATCAAGCCTTTTGATGTCGTTTGTTTCATTAATAGATTTTGCAAAAGAATGAATGTTCTCAGGCAAACATGGGATGGCCTTGTTTGCTTTTGAATAAATGTTGATCCATCCTATTCAACACTAATGGGACTCCTTATTTCCGAGCGAGGAACCCGTTTGAGTAGAGCACCTGGGGGCACATGCTGTTCACGGTCCAGGGCTGAAAGTCCGTTCCATTCCATTGCAGCGTGTCTTCCGGGTGCCATTCTGGCGACACGGGGCGGGATCCCCTGGCTGATCCAGATGCTCTTAGAGGGATACATTATATCGCATTGGTCCCCTCCCTAACCCGCACAATTGGCCCGGATCGACGCAATAATCCTCACTGACGCATCAACATCTCTGGTTGCCGCAAGTGGTCTGATAACTGGCACATAGACTCCGGTTCAGGTTAACGGACCCACGCTGGAATTGGGTTGGAGGACCCACCGTTCGGTAATGGGGACCCTGACTGCCAAAGGACCCTTCCATTGCTTCAATGTGAACACTCATCATAAGTTCTCATGTTTCCTCTCATTGCCAGAGGGCTCGATCGTCGCAAGAGATCCTCTGTCTTTCGGGATCCTGTCGCCGGTCCTGCTGAGCAAATATTCGCCTGGCCGACTCGAATACTCTTGTTAACATAGAACGCCCCACTAGGCTCTCGGCCCCTGACAGATGCAGGAGCCCCACATTGTTGCGGTGGCCTCGAGTCCGACCAATGCAAATCACGGGCCGGCATTGTCGCTGCTTGGGAAATGGGCCCCGGGAGCTCAGACCGACAAACAGCCGACTGCTCGGTGTTGGTGATCTCTGGCCGGAACAGAAGAACGCTCGGTCTCAGGAGAGCCCAATCGACACAACAGGCCCTCTAACTGACATTTGAGATCACGACCCTACGAGCGGGTGTCCTTAATGTGGCCTGGAGTCAGCCCTTTAGGCACTGCAGCCATCCAATCGGGCCCTTGGTCTTCGGTCTCGTGAGATTTTTCGGTTTTTCCTGGGGCCCCTCGAGCATCATTCCTGGCTGACTCGGGGCCAACTGCCGCCATAGAACCCCTGTTAAGTTTGATGGCCCCTGACCGACACAACAGCCCTTAATTGTGTCAGGGACCCCGGTCATTGCAAATCACAGGCCTCGACCTCGTTTCTGCTTGGGAAATGGGTCCCAAGTTCACAGACGGAAGTGGAGACGATTGTTTAATGCCATGTCGAGCCGCTATATGATCGAAATAGAGGACCCTAACAAGATGACCGTAATAGAGGCCCTCTGACTGATATTTCTGGTCACGATACTACGGGTGAGGGGCAAGCCCGAGCCCAACTGGCTGCTTGATCTTTGGTCCCCAGGGGCCCTTCGGGCCGTCTTCGGACCACCGCAAACACGGCTCCTGGTGACTCGGGTCACTTGCCGACACAGAACCCCCTGTTGGGCACTGTAGAGCCCTGACCAACACCCTCGTGGTTTCATTGACCCCAACTAACGCAAGTCGCAGGTCCGGCCTTGCTCTTGCTTGGGAAAGGGACCCCTAATGCTCAGACCGATACGTAGTCGGTGATTCGGTGTTGACGGTCTCGGGGCGGATGGAGGCCTGCACTACCCAAGGCATCCCCAATCGATGCAAGAGACTCCCCGACTAACATTTCAGGTCACGGCCTCACGGGTGGGAGAGCATCCTTAATGTGGCTTACGGCCAGTCCTTCGGGCCCGCGCCCGTTGTCCAGTCGCAAACCGAACATGACATTCTGTAACAAGTGTTTGAACCATATTGCTATTGGTTCACACGATAAAAACAGCGCTGATCTGAAATAGCACGTTCTGTGTGGCTACAGGGGGGGGGGGGGGGAGCTACGCAGTTTGCATTGTTCCTAGACCTTTCGCATAATGGAATCACCCCACCTAATTCAACTAGGATAGCATCACCTCACCAACTTTGCTTAAGACAGAATCGCTCCACCTAATTCAGAAGGTACGATATGATTTCTCCGTTAAACTCGCCTAACAGAACCAGCGAATGTTACAGCGTCTACGTTTATACTCAACCATTGGGACCAGTTGCAAATAAAAGCATTTTGTAAGCTAGACACACAAAAAGAGACGCTTTTGACTGGACCTTTGTGGCTTTTTATGTTAAAACATTCGTCAAATTTACTCAAAATTTTGCAATTTTGATTTACATATGAGAAACAAATTTTGGCTTACAATACTATATATGTTAAGCAGAAAGGCGTCCTTCTGAAGCAAATGCTGCAAAAACTGAAGCCGTTAAAACTGTATCATTAACATCCGGTCTCTTCTGCATCTCGTGTGAAAATTGCACATTCAAATTCCGATAATTACACATGTTTCATTTCCCAAAAACTTAACAGACGAGTATTATCTAGTTAGCTTATATTTGAAAGTATCGCTTGTACGGACCCATGCACTGTAAAAGGAAAATTATTATGCAGTCTATGATATAAATGATCAGGTAGATCATTTATTTCTCAGAGGATGGGTCAAACTATTTTGCATCGCTGCCATTTCAAAACTACAGGGTCAAAATTCTTTCGTATCAAATTTGGCTCGAATCATTTCCGGCTTGCCGATAATAAGGGAGCACCCACCGGGCAAAAGCAGCTTGTTTCCTTTAGCTGATTGGCGCAGTAATGCCTAAGTAGCTTGAAATGCATTCAGACATTCTTTGGTGCTTTGTTTCAGACTGAGTGCACCAGCACCTCTGCACCAACGGCACCAGCACCAGCACCCGGCACAACTCCCAGCACAAAGCTCGCACCACCCGTCCCCGTCCTCGCTCGGCCGGCCTCGCCGCCGGCACCCCTTCCAGCACAAACTTCGTACGACCTGTCCCCCGTCCTCTCCCGGCTGTGCCCGCCACCGGCACCATTCCCAGCACAAAGTTTGCACCACCCGTCCCCGCCCTGCTGTCCCCGCTCCCGGCACCTCCGCACGCACCCCCGCTGCAGCCGGCAGCCCCGGCCCTTGGCGGCCGGCCGCCTCGTCACCGTTCAGTGTTTCAGTGGACGGTCTGGGCGGCGCCAACGCCAGCCGACGCCGCGTCGACCCGCTGCTGGTGGCGCCGCTGTTTAACATGAGCTCTGAGCGGCCGCAGCCGTCCAGCATGGAGCGGACGCTGCATGGACACCACTACGAGCAGGGGCACAGTTCCATCCCCGGGCGTCATCAGACTATTACGCGTGAGTGGAATCGACACGCTGGAAGATTGCTTAATGAAAAATGTACACATTATTGCTGCGTGCGCCGCTATGCTGAAGTGACAGTTTCCCCCTATTCACTGCTCAAAACGTCGCCTGTGTTTGACAGCCGTGCCGCAAAGTTAGGTATGCGGTTTGGTTTTGTCACACTGTACCTAAATACCAGCTCCGCGAAGTGTTTATGTTTGTAACGTCAAAAAGAGCTGAAAATCATTCTCATTTCTTTCAAAACATTATCATTTGCTTGTAACGGAGGAAAGCATATCGCGCGCAGTGGTCGACGTCAGATCTGGGCAACTAGGGAAAAATATTCAAAACCAACTACGCTGTCGAAACGGAATTATTGTACAGAAATCGCTGGGCCTGTAATCCAGTATGCAACGCATCGGGACAGCAGTAACCACGTAAAAATGAACCCAAATCCCCCTTTCCCTCACGGACCTCAAGCACGAGCTACCGGGTCTTAACCGCGAGAAACATGGAACAGTGAAAGTCGTGCTCAATTAAATGGTTGTATGAACTAAAAAGATTTTGTTGACCCTCGCCTTGATACGGAAGGGGGGAGGGGCGATACGCTCACTAAGGGTTTCTGAAGGTGTCTCTCCGGCATATAATATTTGCTGGCCAAAGTTTTTGATATTTTCTGAGCATTCATTGCGCATGTTTTGACACAAAAAGACGTATTTTTAGCATGCCTGGTTTTTGAAAGAGGATGACCTTTTTAGGAAGGCTGCACGGCGTTCACGGCCGGTGCTGGAGGCGTTCGGTGGCCGAAGAATCCGCCTATCGCGTACGACGGAGTTTCACGTTAACGAGGTCCCGCATCGTGAATTTGTGATCAGAACATGAAAATGCATATAACCGTGCTCAGATTTAAACAGGAAAGACGTCTGCATAAGTTATACGCTGCTGTGTGCCATAATTTCTTAGTTGATGGGAAATTTGGCTGAACAGTTTTAGGAATAACCAAGTTATGATTTTGCATAATGGGGTCAACCAGGGACACCACCAGAATCTTGATAAGGCTGGAGAAGAGGAATCAGGGATCACAAAGAACCACTTGATGGTGAAACCTCCCACCCCCCAAAAATCCTGCATATAGCCCACTTGATTTCTTGGTGACACGATTTTCTCTGTTTTAATTTAAGTTTTATCATTTATAACTGGAGCGGAACTAGTACCGACCAGAACAAACAATCACATTTGAATTTTAAGAGGAGTGTTCCACCTTTGGGTCATATTTCAAAAACATACTCTAGTGAAACCTCGGGGCCAATTACGTCTCATAATAAATAATGATTTATTTTTACGAATTGGTGTGTTGCAAACATTACAGAACACACACACATTGGAAAAACAAGGCAAAGTAAATGCATTTCTTCCATAGTGGTAAGCAGGAAATTCAATGAGTTTTCTCCCGCAGGAGCCGCTACCTCTGATCGAAATTCTTAGCTATTCAGAAGGATTTTGAGAAAACTGATGTTGCTCGTCAAATCGTTCGTGTCCGGCCGACCGATATCTGAGAAGTACAAGAAGCTGACATGCACCATTTAAAGTCCATAAACTAAAGGAAATTAACGTTAAATGACAGGTATGAAATGAGCGCCCAGCGCTATTCATTTCACAATTCTTCGTTGGGCTTTCTGAACTGATAGCTCACAGAGGCTTTGACATATCTTTGGGGGCTCTACAAAGCGATATCAAGGACCCCGGAAACCAGAAAGATTGCAGATCGAAATTGGGTTAAAGTTATTGTTAAAATGGCCAACCCATGTTCGTCTGGGAATGCTCAACCTTAAGTCAGAAATGCTTAGTGATAAAAACATGTAACGTAGTTTTGAGCATATTCGCTCGCGTGCGTTACAAAGCTCCGACACCCGACGTTGTAGTCTCCATGTTCCTCGCTACGTCGGCCCAGCGGCTCATCCTAGACGGCGCCCATGGGGAACGAAAATGATGCATCTGAAAGAAGTGCCTCTGAACGTCTTTTCACACCACTTCGGGTGTTTAAAAGACAGTCTGGGTGTGTATTTTGTTTGTAAGATTTTTAAATCGGTAAACTGGTGCTGATATCTGGTGGTGGAAAGGGAAGAGTAAAGATGGAATCTTTATCTATGTGTTGCTGTAACTGTTAATATGCTCGGAGAACCGCTTAAAATCTATTCAAGGGAATCACACCCACCAGTCTAACCTTTCAATGTTACGAATTAGTTTAGACAGATTTTCGGAAGCACCGCCTCACGGCAGTCGTTCCCGTGCGTACGGGGCTCGCCGCCAGGCGTTATTTGCGGCTGCCAAGGTCGTTCGGTTTCACGGACGCTGAGACCTCGGCCATCGGTGTTCTTGCTCCTTAGATTGGAAGTGCGCAGATTGAAAACATGTCCAGGTAATTTGTTTCACTAGTCGTTCCGCAAAAAGATGGACGTCCTCAGACAAACATGGGTCGGCCCTTTTTTAGACTTGACTTCAATTCGAGCTGTTGGATCAGGGCCCTTCCTATCGAGCACTCATGAGAACTATTACTTTTTTCTGGGAAAGGGGCTCCGTGGGTAAAAGACTTAAGGCGATAATCTCGCTCCCGGTCAGGAGGCAGGGACGTCATTCCGTCCTCAGCACGGGGTGCTTACCGGCTGCCATTCTGGCGACATTTTGGGGGGGGGACGGGGTCACTTGGTCGATCCGGAGGCCCTTAGAGGAATATATCGTACATTGGTTCCCTCCTTGACGCGGGTAGCTGACTACCTCTGACCTGGTTAGTTGGCCCCATTTCGATACAGAATCCCTTATTGGCGCGCAAATATCTCTCATTGTCACAGAAGGTCCAATAAGGGGCACAGGTATTTCAGTTTAGCTTAACGGCCCCTTGGTTGAAATAAAGTGGAGGACTCCCCAGGTATTTGGTCCTTTTTGACTGACAGAGGACCCTTCCATAGCCTCATCGTCGATTTTCGCCATAAGTGTTATGATCTCCTTTCATTTTAAGAAGGCCCCCAAAAATCCAAGAGGCCATCTGACATCGAGACCCCGTCCCTGCCCTTGTTCCTGTTCAGCAAATGCTCCCTTAGCTGACCCGGATCCATTGTCGACACAGGGCACCCTGTTAGGCACTGTGGGCCCCTTGACCGACACAGTGCTTTCATCGTTCCAGGGGCCCAATAAATGTAGATAGCCCACCCCGGTCTTGTACTTCTTGGAAAAGAGGCCCCATGGTTCGCATCCAAACGGAGCCGACTGTTCGGTGTGGGTGGCATCTAACCGAAAAAGAGGATCCCATTGTCCCAGGTGGTCTCTAGTTGGCACAAGAGGCCCTGGCTGGAATCTGAGGTCCTGGCCCGTAGGGCCTGGGCACTTAATCGGTCATCAGTCAGCCCTTCGAAGCCTTCGGGCCTCCAATCGGGCCATTGGTTTTCGGCCACGAATGGCTCCTCGGGCCTCTCGTCGGGCCCATAAAACACTGCTACTAGCTGACTTCGGGGCTCTTGCCAACATGCAACACATGTTAGACATGATTCCTGGCCGATTAGGGTCCCTCATTGACTCAGGGGCCCGGCCAACGAAAATCGTTGGCCCCAGCCTTATGTCTGCATGGGAAATAGGCCCTCGGGCACAGACCGAAACGAAGCCGGCTGTTCGGTGCTGTTGGTGCCTGAACAACATGGAGGCTCTCATCGGCTCAGGTGGCCCTTAACCTGCGCCCCGGCCGGGGGTCTGACCTCGCCCGTCCGGGAGGGGGGCGAGGACAGCTGACTTTCCCAGGATGTCCAGCTTCCAGACGCCGAATGAGAAAAACAAAGATACACTCTTGAAGTTATCGTCAAATTATGAAGAACGAATGCCAAATTTTTTACCTTGGGTAAAATGTAAGGGCACCGGAGGTCACGAAATGTCAAAAATGGTCGTTCTGATAGCTGCAGCTCAGACCTGCTGTCGCACATCAGGACGGATATTCAGGGCACGGAAATAAGCGTTAAAACTGTTGGGAGTCCACTCGACCATTTTTGTTCCCCACAATTTTTAGGACAGATCAGGTCATCGTTCAAAGAATGCCATCATATATAAACAGGTACTGAAAATTTCGTTTTGCTGCGAGGATTCGTTTTTTATCTGTGTTAGAAACACCGCAGGGGATAAGTCAGCTTCCCCGGGCCGGGCGCGGGTCAATAGTCGATGCATAGAGGCTCCTCAGGCCTCCCGGACCTAAGGGAGTACGCGTACCCATGTGACCCCTCACTTGCAGTTGTTCTGGGGTCTACTTTGACCTGGCAAGAAGGACCTCATTTCTGATCGCGAGATTTCGTTGAGACCAATGAAATGTTTTTATGACGCAAGGCTCTAGTAATATTTAGTAATACGCTTATTGAACTATTGCCAGCATTACATAGTAAAATTCCTAACTAAATCATAATCTTAACTTAATTCGTACCTTAAGTTTACTCGAAATTACAACGTTGTAGATACTTATCCAAAAATACACCATTTATTCAACCTGCATACACACATAACAGTGCGTTGCACTCACATACTCACATGCTTTCCGACATCTTCATAGTGCCCACTATTACGCCTTTGTTAGTTCATGATAAAGGCGCCCAATGTCACAACGTTCCTTTTCGGCAACAAGTGTTTCGTGAACATTACGCCAGGAATTAACCGCTATGCGCTATGAATTAACCTGTAGCTTATCTCTAACTGACGTAGGACTACTGCGATGGAACTCCGACGGTCGGACAGAGCGTCCTGTATCTTACCTCTAACTGACCTAGGACTACTGCCATGGAACTCCGACGGTCGGACAGAGCGTCCTGTATCTTACCTCTAACTGACCTAGGACTACTGCGATGGAACTCCGACGGTCGGACAGAGCGTCCTGTATCTTACCTCTAACTGACCTAGGACTGCTGCCATGGAACTCCGACGGTCGGACAGAGCGTCCTGTAGCTTACCTCTAACTGACCTAGGACTGCTGCCATGGAACTCCGACGGTCGGACAGAGCGTCCTGTATCTTACCTCTAACTGACCTAGGACTACTGTCATGGAACTCCGACGGTCGGACAGAGCGTCCTGTACCGTACCTCTAACTGACGTAGGACTAATGCGATGGAACTCTGACAGTCGGAGAGAACGTGGGACTGCGGCCAGATGTTGCGCGTTTTTGTTACAAAACATCTTGAACTTCCGATAGCGTGCAATGGAAAGCCATGCTCTCCGATCTCGGTGAACCAGCACTTTTCTCAATTGAACTGAATCAAGCCGGTCTAGGGGGCCACAAGTTTGCCCATTTGTGTCAGATTGATCGCCGCAGGACTGGGAAAGTCATGAAGATCACACGTGCCGTGGCGAAGCGTGGCAGTGGTAGACGTGTCACATGACTAATCGTGCGGCTGTTCCAGATCACCACGTGACCGGGGTAACCAGCGTTCCGGGAGACGACGTATTCCAGTCCTCCTGCCACACCGCTCTGGACAACTGCCTGCAGGACGACCGCTGCAGCGCCCGGCTGGAGCCGGTGCTGGCCGACTGTGACGAGACGGCCTGCAGCCGACACATGTGCATGCAGCGGCTGCAGCAGTTCTACGCTCAGGCCGACAGCGTGCTCGTCATGGACGCCGCCTTCTGTGTCTGTCGGTGAGAGACGATCGGGACCCTGGAAAATTGTTGAGCAGTGACGGTTTTAGAAAACAATGTTTGGGGCTTTATGGCTGTCAAACGATAATGCCCTTAGTTTGGAAGATTTTCCTGAAGAACTGTGTTGCATGTTACGTGCATCCAGGAGTGAGCATCGCGATTGGGACCGCTCCATTGTCGTGAAATGCTTTGGCCCGTGGACTCTGATATGTACCCTTTCCATAGGGTTTCTCACTTTCCCCATATGCGTGCGTACCTTGCTCATTCATAGCACTACACTGGATATATCTCCAGTCCCATGTAGCTCAGTATTTACAGGCTGCAAGCGTGTGGTCTGTCAGTGCAAGTCGTTTCATAAGCTTTACAAATGGCTTTGTTCCTGACTGGAATTCGGTCGACTGACCAATGCGTCGTGAGCGAGCTCAGAGCAGTCGAGTGCAGTCTGTAGAGGCAGCTGATGCCGTGCGTGTGCAGGCGCTCTGCGGACGGCGACGGCCGCTGCTTGCGCGCCATGGAGCGGCTGCACCCGACGTGCGCGCGCCAGCCGGAGAGCAGCGCCGTGCCCGGCTGCGACAGTGTGGCGCACCGCTGCCAGCGGCGGCCGGACGCCGGCTGTCGGCTGCGGCTGGAGCAGTACGAGCAGGCGTGCGCTGTGGACGCGCTGACCCAGCGCTGTGCTGGGCCGACGGCCGACTGTCGGCGCGCCCTGCTGGCCGTGCTGGGCACCCAGCTGCACAGCCGCTGCGCCTGCCGTGGCAGCAGTGCCGCCGCCCAGCACAGCTGCCAGGACTGGGAGCGTCTGCTCTGGGCAAACCCCTGTGTCGGTACGTCACTGCGTCACTGGTGTCGGAATACTGTACCGATGTGTGACCACCTTTCGGCCAATGCATCTCCAGCTGGTGGGTGTTTGCTATGTGGGTTTATTGACTGTGCTGCATGATATTATGCATCACGTTTGATCTGTGTATGCGTAATAATGCTGATTGTGATTCCTTATCTCCTTTCATTCCTCATCTCCTTACACTGAACCGTGCGACAGCACTGTCGGGCAGTCCAAGCTTGCGTCAATTTAGTCACAGCAGGCTCAGTACCATGGGGTTAAAACTAAGGACATGAGAAATAATTGGCTGCATGCAAATCTGGCGCTGCATTGTTCGCAAGAGGACAAACACTTCCGCTTTTTTTCTCGCACCACGCATACTTGATAATGATTATGGAATGCCGATAGCCTACAGGTGCACGAGATGGCGGCATTGTGTGCTGGATTCATGTGTGACGATGTGCCTGGAACAGCTGCATCTCGTACCCCGCAGCTCTGTCACAGCGCGAGCATCACCAGTTGCGTTGGGGCGCTATCCACGGAGGTGCAGCTGTGTCCCGCACGACCTCGCCTCCGGTCGAAGCGACTTCCGCTCACGGTGACCCACGTCCAAACCCCGGCCTCCGACCCGACTTCCGTCGCCCGGCCGCCACCACTCCGAGCTCCACGGCACCTCCGGCGCCGCCAACGACGACCACGAGAGGAGCCACCGTCGGCCGCCGGCCCCAGCCGTACTGCACCGCCCGCAAACAGGGCACCGTGGTCGACCACATTCCAGTCGGCTCCGGGATCAGGGTGAGCTCAGCACTCTGGAGTCAGGGTGAGCTCAGCACTCCGAAGTCAGGGTCAGCTCAGCTGCGGAGTCAGGTCAGCTCAGCACTCCGGGGTCAGGGTCAGCTCTCAGCGCTGTGGAGTCAGGGTCAGCTCAGCGCTACGGCGTTAGGGTGCGATCACTCCAGAGTCAGGATAAACTCAGAGCTTCGGAGTGAGTGTGCTGAGTGTGCTGAGCTGAGCCATCAGGAGTCAGTTTGAGCTTAGCGCTTTGGTGTTCGGGTAAGCTCAGCACCCGGACAGAGGGTGAGCTTTCAGCTCAGCACTTCGGAGCTGGGGTGAGTTCAGCGGTTAGTACCGTCAGTATGATATATTCATTGGATGATTCACTCGGATCGCACGCCCAAACGTCCATCGTCACAGATAACTAAGTAGTGCGCACTGATGTTCACTGGGAGGGCTCGCCTCTGCAGCATGAACAAAAACAACAATTTGGTTTAAGAAGTCCCAAGTGTATTGTACTGCAGGATGCCGGTGCACTGGTATACGCCTCCGATGCATTCTGGACTGTGGAGATAATAAAGCACCATTGCGTTGAAGCGTTAAGTACAGCAACACATGGACGCAAGAAATTCTCCAAAGATGGGGGAGGGGGCGGGGATCCCCCTGCGGGGATGAGGTGTAACGCCAGAGTGTTTGTCCAAAAGGTGCCCCAAAACAGAGCCTAAAGCTAACATTACTGCATGAAACAATTCACCTTATGTTTTTTCTTCAAAATCTGCTACCGGGAAGTAAGGGAGATTCTGCGACCATGTAGCAGAATCTCCATTAGCTCATGGTAGCTGGCATGGTGCGACCATGTCGGGCCACCACGACAGCGAGCCGGGCCCGCCGTTGACCATGTCGGGCCACCATGACAGCGAGCCGGGCCCGCCGCTGATCATGTCAGGCCACCACGACAGCGAGCCGGGCCCGCCGCTGATCATGTCGGGCCACCACGACAGCGAGCCGGGCCCACCGCCGGTCATGTTGGGCCACCATGGCAGCGAGCCTGGACCGCCGTTGACCATGTCGGGCCACCATGACAGCGAGCCGGGCCCGCCGCTGATCATGTCGGACCACCATGACAGCGAGCCGGGCCCGCCGCTGACCATGTCAGGCCACCATGACAGCGAACCGGGCCCGCCGTTGACCATGTCGGGCCACCATGACAGCGAGCCGGGCCCGCCGCTGATCATGTCGGACCACCACGACAGCGAGCCGGGTCCACCGTCGGTCATGTTGGGCCACCATGACAGCGAGTCGGACCCGCCGCTGATCGTGTCGGGCCACCATGACAGCGAACTGGGTCCGCCGCTGTCCGCGCCGCTGCTCTACAGCGTTGGTCGTTGTTGCAGTACTATGTGCAGGACGAATCTCCGGACAAGTACCGGGTGCAGAGGGACTGCTCCGAGCTGTGCATGTGCCACGGCCGCCACCGGCTCGTCTGCAACGTGCTCGACTGCGTGGAGAAGAAGAGCTGTCAGGCAGACCTGGCCGTGTACCCGCACGGCGCGGCCCGACTGCTGCCCTTCAGGGAGGGCTGCATCTGCCACCACGGAGACTTTGTCTGCATGAGACCTTCAGCAGGTGCGTCCATGACTTTGTGCTCATCGTGAGACACACATCTTTGGTGTGTGCGGTAGAGCTGTTTGAGTTACTTTGCGGGCCCAGTGGAGTTCTCCGAAAAATGTGACCCTCATGCATTTTCAGGCCATTCCTATAAAGTCGGGCGTGTCCGTGTGGTTATGTAGCAGCATTGACTGTGTTTGATTGGCTATTTATCACCGTTTTCTGCGATATATACCATGTTTCTTTTATTGCAGATGACTATACCCTTCCATTTGGCGTGTTCCTGTTCCTTGGGTACAGCAAAACAGACGAGGATGCTTTATTTCCATACACCCACAAGAGGGTCAAGGATCACGTAGCTGAAGAATTAGAACACTTACTGGAACTCACAATGACTAAGAGGGGCATGCGACTGCAGGTACGTTTAGAATTTTGCTTTTGTTTTTTTTTTTGTTGTATGAGATAACTGTATCCCGCTTGCTTCGTGATTTCGCTCCAAGCCATCCGTTTTAATGTACATGTATGCTATGCTATCAAGCCTCCAAGGACAGGAGTCACGCTGAAAAGTATGCTATCGTTTTGGTCTATCCTTGCATGGATCACTCGCGTCCAATCGTATCGATGACGCATTTTCTATCGAAATCCTTCTGAATAGTACAGAATTTAGATTACAACTGGCCGCTCCGGGGGGAGAAATCCATTGGACTACCTGCTCACCATCATTAAAGTAATAACTTTTCGCTTGTCCTGCTCTTCCCAAATTGTGAGCTCTGTATAATGTTGGCAATACACTTACACAGTGGCACTTGCGAAGCGCGCTTTGGCTATGGGAAACAGAGTATCATATGGTCTGCAGTGACGTAATGGCTCATGACCCACTGGTTCAAACTCCAACCAATGCGCTTCTCGGCAAGTGACCCTTGTCGCCCGCTGTGCCAATCACAAATGTTAATCTCTTCCTATGGTATCCATACCGGTAGATGTGCCACGTTTATGTCCAAAGTCCGCCATATACGGACTAAAAGAGCTCAAAAGTGGTGCATCTAGTCCGTCACATTGTCTCGGACTAGGGCTACATTCTGAGGACTACAAAGAAAGAGAAAAGTTGGTGCTGTAACAAAACGTTAACAGTGCAAGTCCGCCTAAAAAATAACTAAAACTGGTATCCTCGTTAGGTTTTCGTGGTACTGCAGGGGCACTATCCAGTGCTATCATGTGACGTGGCTGGTCTGGTCCTGAGGTTTCACCGAAATGTGTTTTTGAAATATGCCCCAGAAGGCGCGAGACTCAATCTCAAATAATGCATCAGTCTGATAACAAGTGGTGCAATAAAAAGTCTTTCTATGAATTACAGGGGGAAGATATCGTTTAGAAAACCTTCTGGGGACCCGGGTTAAGGACTACTGTATGCGCCATGACAAGAAACACAAAAACGCTTTCTTGAATGGTTATGTTTCCGTGTCATTTCAGGACTGGCCGTGCTCCTTGTCTGTGAAGCAGCACTTTCAGTCATCGAATAATCTTATCATCCAAGCAAAGCTGGACGAAGTCGAGAAATCATACAATCAGAGCATCAACCAACGATTGCTTAACAGAGAAAAGGTGATTAACCACGCAAACCAGGAGAGCATGATATGCAGAACCGAGGACACGTAAAATTCCTGGAGCAGCTCTATGTTGTTACCTTTTCCGTGCAAGGTGATCTGCAATGAATATACCTTACCTGTTCACAATGACTTTACTGTCTTTCGATCGTGGAATCCATGCAGATTAATATAGGAAGTTCGAATGACGGCTTAAAATTCATACAAATGCGAAATACATTGCAAAATGTCGTCCATATAAAACAGCCTGATCCCGTACAGCGTACGGTGGTCGGTGCAGTCATGATGGTACTTGCATGATGTCCTGCAATCGGCACTCTTGAGCATATGCTATAAGTGAGCCTTCCTTTCTCATGCTCCTTTTATTTGTCTTTCTTTTATTTTCTCGCCTCTCTCTTTCTCCCCGCAGGCAAAATGTACCAAGCCGCTGAGAGACATCAGCTTCATGGTGAACACCGCGAGCCAGAGATTCCTCTCGCACCCTCTACTCTCCGTCTTCAAGATGGCCGATCTGGAGGTGACGATCCCCGACATGTCGGCGGCCGGCGGCCGGCGGCCCAGCTGGGCCCAGCTGGTCCCGGTTCTTCGTCTACCTGGTTCTGGCGGGCCGGCGTTCGGGCGTGACGCCCAGGCCCCGTCTCCGCCCGGCAGTGTGGCCGCCTCCGTCCTCCCCTGCCCGGTCCGCCGGCGTCCTCGCGATGCGGCGACACGACGTGCTGTGACTGAAGAGCCACCGGGTCCTCCTCGGCCTCCTGTACTCGCTTCGTGTGCGGCGCCGGCTGGTCCGGGCTAGCCTACGCGGCCGGGCAGGCGAGGCCGTCAGGCTGCCGCTGCCCGGCCGGCGGCGGCGGCGTGTCGCGACAGCTCCGACCGGTGCGGAGCCGCTGAAGTGACGCGTGTCTATGGCAGTGCCGGCAGTCCACAGGGCTCGGTGCAGAGGCGCGGTGATATCCGGCAGACTTATGATTCTCTTCCTTCGCTCAAGCCTGGCCTACTGGT